AGGACGCACAGAACAGCTTCCGCCGTGAGCAGGGCGAGGAAGGGCAGACTGCGCCCCAGACAGACAGAGAGCACCAGGCCGCATCCTACCAACAAATCAAGCAGCCGCCCCAGGCTCTTCTGCCAAATTCTGTTTCTTGCATAGAAATCTAAATATTGGGCCATATTACTCTACATTACCAGTTTCCCTTGCCAGAGCTATCAGCTTATTTCTTATTTAGCCCTCTGATAAACGACTGTTCCTCTTCATTTTTATTTATAAACATTCCTTTCCTTATAATATTTGCCAGTTTCAGCTTGACTTCATACATTTTACTTGTTTCCGTTTCTAGCAGAACTGCTTTTTCAAAATGCTGAAAAGTCGTCATTTTAGAGCTGGCAAGAGAAAATACTGGTTTTGCTCAAGATCTCTTTCTCCCAGCTTTGGAAGCAAGACTCTGGCTTCCCAAAAGAAGTAAACCACCATGGGAATTCCACTGTCTTCCTGGGGCAATGAGGAAACTCCGATTTGGAGAGTCGCTGACCACTAGACCACAGGCAGTGCAAGAATCAGTACCGAGTTTTCAGGGAGTCTTGTGTAAGCTGCTTTCTTTTCACGCTTCACAAAGTACACAGCCAGGACTGTGAATTGCATTTCATTTTGAAATTGTTTTCAAGAGTCTTCTTTTGTTTCCCAAATAATTGATGAGCCCAATTATAAACATTTATTTCCAGTAGATTCCCTCCTAGCAACTGGTGCTGCTGCTGCACTGAAGTCATCCTGTGGAAATCCACTAATGGACAATCTCAAATCTGCATCTAATGAACAGACACTTCTCCAAAGAGGACATCCAGATGGCCAACAGACACATGAAACGATGCTCAGCATCCCTCCTCATCAGGGAAATACAAATCAAAACCACACTGAGATACCACCTCACACCAGTCAGAGTGGCTAAAATGAGCAAATCAGAGAACTCTAGATGCTGGCGAGGATGTGGAGAAACGGGCACCCTCCTACACTGTTGGTGGGAATGTAAACTGGTACAGCCCCTCTGGAAAACAGTGTGGAGGTTCCTCAGGAAACTAACAATAGAACTCCCCTATGACCCAGCAATAGCACTGCTAGGAATTTACCCAAGGGATACAGAAATGCTGAGGCATAGGAGCACATGTACCCCAATGTTCATAGCAGCACTCTCCACAATAGCTAAAACATGGAAAGAGCCTAAGTGTCCATCAACAGATGAATGGATCAAGAAGATGTGGTTTATCTATACCATGGAATACTACATGGCAATGAGAAACAATGAAATCTGGCCATGTGTAGCAACATGGATGGACCTTGAGGGTGTTATGCTGAGCGAAATAAGTCAGGCAGAGAAGGACAAATATCATATGTTTGCACGTATAGGAGGATTAGGAGGAACTTGACGGAGGAACAAGGGGGAGAAGAAGGGCGGAAATGGTGGGGGAAAGGGAGAGAGGCAAACCATGAGAGACTCTTGAATGCTGACAAAAACTGAGGACTGATGGATGTGGGGGGGAGGGGGGGATGGGCATGGAGGAGGGCACTTTGGGGATGAGCACTGAGTGTTATGTAGAAACTAATTTGACAATAAACTATTTGAAAAAAAAAAAAAATCTGCGTCTAATTGTTTCATGTGTTCCCATCACTAATTAGGGTGTAATTGCAAGTTTCCAGAGAAGAAACACGATGTCCCATATTTCATGATTCTGGTACCATCCAGGCATCCAGCATAATTCACCTTATCTGTTTCAATTAATAGATGTGATCGATTCTCTACATGGTGTCTCATGCTTTGCAATGCTCCCTGGAATTCCACAAGAGATGACCTCCCTGTTCCCTAAGCACTGAGGACAAAAGCAGGTGTCCTGCCTTAGCAACAGACTGTGTCTAGACTACTGCTGTTCTGCACCCCTTCTCTACATACCTGTGTCCAGTGCATGGTCCAAACAGGACATGGAGTGAAAAGGCAGGGGCGGAGCCAGCTGACATTTGTGGAAACCAACTGTGTGCGGAGCAGTGCGCTCAATGCTTTACATCCTCATCTTATAACTGAAACAAAATTACATGAACTTGGCATTTTATTCCCATTTTACAGATGAGCAAAGAGACATGAGGGAACTCACTCGACTCACACAGCTGGGGGCAGCAGGCCAAGCAGCCTGGACCCTCAGGTCTTACTCCCAAACCTGAGCCTGGTGACCTGCTGGAGGGGAAGCAGCCTCAATCCTGCAGGTCAGTCTTTTCAGCACACCTGGGAGATAATCTTGGAGGGAACTAAATCACAGATTCAAACGTATTTCAGGGAAAATAATGCTCTGGGTGTTAGCTACAATCTTCCACAGTTAGAAACTGCAAAGAGATACACTGGTAATGAACAACTGGCACATTTCCCCATGAACTATTTCTCCAAATTTCATTTAAAAATATGACCATGAATTCATATGTCCAGAGAATCTTTTAAATTTTATATTCAAATGCACTAAGGTGTGGATTTACTTTTTATTTTACTCGCATTTTAAGTGCTTTTAGCCACGGGTACTAGCTGTGTTGGCCGTGTGCATGTACTTAGCACAGATTTACCCTGCAAGCCGGGGGCCTTGTGCAGCCTGCCTTTTAAATATCCCCGGGCTGCTCCTTCAAAAGTAAGCACTTCATCTACATAGAGAAAAGCGTGTGAGCATCTTGAAACAGCAAACCGAGCCCAGCACCTGACCCTGACTCCCCACAGTCTCAACAGCAGGTCCCACACTGAGTCCCGCAGAGCTCATCTCTGACCGAGGAACCACGTCCAAGGCGGATTAAGAAGGCATCTCAGGATGTGCCCTCCTGAGATGGAAGAAGGGGGCACAGACTGTGATGGTTCGCCACGGGAACGTCTCCGTCAGTTCCAGGTTCAAGGCAGAGCCATCTCTACACAGAGCCCACCCATGTCCTTCTGCTTCATCCGCTCTGGGCACCTGGGACAGCTCACTGCTGAGCCAACAGCGTGGTAAAATCTGGACTTAAGTTTGGTGTGGTTGGGACCAAGGCCCAAGTGTGACTGCTGCACCATGGGCACTCTGCCTCTCTCCCCGTCTGACAATGCTCAGGGGCCGGGCTGCAGCTGCGCCCTATCCTGGCTAGCCCGCTGCCGCCTTCTCTTCCTCTCTGCTTCCTTGCTGGTCCTTTGTGCTGCAGCGTCCACTTCAGTGTCACCTGCCATCTCCCTGGGAAGAGCCTCCTACCCCTCAGTCACCGCCGTCTCCTGTAAACAGACGACGTCCTGGCTGGTGCTTGGACTGAAGGAGCCAGCTGCACGCCCAGCCTCCCTGGGGCTGTGACAAAGGTCAGCCCCCTACTTGCTAGTGTACAATGCAGGTTTACATATTGGGCCTTGGTGGGCAATGAGGAGCCAGGCCGCATACACCCTCCATGATCCAAGGAATGGAGGGACTCGTGGCATGGTAAGGTCAGATTTCTGAGGAGAGCTTTTCTCCTCCCCGGGCCCCCGCAGGCATGCCCTCAGGATGTTTGGCAAACACAGAACTTGGGGACATCCGGAACTTCACCATCCCTCACAGAGGACAGAGGGAGCCCACAAACCCTGGGACTTCAGGGCAGGGACATGGTCACTGTGCCTCCCCGGAGACACTGATGCCTTTTCCACCCTCAGAACCTCATGGGTTTTTCCTTTAGTTTGGAATAACCGAACAAATGTTCTGAGCCTACATCCATCTCCATCGTTACACGCTCAGTGTTGGTCATCTGACACCTGGTGATAATACGCCACACCTATCGAGTATTTATGGAGTCCCCATCACAAAGTGCTTTCTGTAAAGGACCTTATTTAATCCTCACAGCATCCTGCAAGACAGAAGTCTCATTTTACAGATGAGGCAGCCAAGGCTGTGAGAGGCTAAGTGATCTGAGGTAGCACACAGCCAGTGACTGGTGCTGGGATTCAAATCCAGGTCTGACCCTGATCCTGTGGTCACAAAATACCTCAGGAAATAATACTAGCAGAGCACCTGGCACTCCTGGTACTTTTATAAACCAGCTTCTCTGCCTCTCCTTTTGGAGACAAAGGATAAGTGTTTTGTCATAAATGTCAAAGTGACTTCGCTTGGCTTCTGTAGGCCATTTCCTCACCTCGTACATCTGAAGTGCAGACGTTAGCATGTGGTGTTGGTAATGCCATCAACACTGGTTTTTGGCATCATCATTCTGAGAACCCTGGGCTGCAAAGGCAGCCCGCTGGGGTGGACCTGCCCAGAAGCACTAGAAACTTGCCTTGTTGTCTAAAGTTAAAGTCCAAATGCCAGCAAATTCAGTCATTCTGCTGGATACCGGCTAGTCCTGCACCAAGCATTGCAGTCCAAGGGTCAATGCGCCCTCTCTTCTGGCACCCTCTGTACTGGGCCTGAAGGTCACTTCCAGGAACAGGGCATCAGGCCCCCAAGTGAGGTGAGCACACACATGGAACATCATCATGACAGAAAACCTGCTTCAGTTCCCAGGAGTAACTATTCAGACTCCACGGCCATCTGGCTGCCATTTCATAAGCTCTTTGCAAAATCTGGTTATAATTCTACCAAGTCATGAATATTAGTTGATTCTTTTAAGGTTTAGCTAAGTGAATTGAAGAAAATTAAAATACTTGCTAAAGCTTACCACAACTGAAAATCAAAAAAGGCTGCAATGCTCACATAAGGAGAAAGTGTTATGGGGAGGGGCATCTAATTTTAGGGAAATTAGAATAAGACAGAAGAACTCAGAGACAGCAAAGCTTTATTCATGTGCATGGATGGTATGTGTACAGAATGAGATAACTCAAAACTGTTGTTAAATTATGGCTTATTACGGGGCGCCTGGATGGTTCAGTCAGTTGAACACCCGACATCAGCTCAGGTCATGATCTCGAAGTTCGTGAGTTTGAGCCCTGCATCAGGCTCTGTGCTGACAGCTCAGAGCATGGAGCCTGCTTCAGATTCTGTGTCTTCCTCTCTCTCTCTGCCTCTTCTCTACTCACTCTTGTCTCTCTTTCAAAAAATAAATAATTAAAACATTATTATTTTTTAGATTATGGCTTGTTACATCAATTTATGATGCAAACCAGTCTAAGATACCTTAGACTAGAAACACTGCTTTACTACAAGAATCCATTTACAAACTACCAATTTATGTGCTAATTACCAACATTTATATATACTTCTCAAATAAGACCCTGAAGAAAGAACAGGAGACCAAAAAAAAAAAAAAAAAAAGTGTCTATGTGGCTTTAGTGACATTCTTCAAAAAAATGAAACAACATATTTTCTAAATTTTTCATCAGTTCCAAAAAAACAGAATCCTTACATTGTATTTCTTACTGATTTGTCATTCTTCTCTGGGGAACGTCAGAAAGCTGTGCACATACTGGCTGGGCACATGGTCCGTTTGCTCCTGTAAGTGTCACTGTAGGTGGGAATAAGCGGAAGCATGAAGAAAGGATCTGCCCACAGCCATCCAGTCTAGCCGATGAGGAAAAGCAGCGTGAGACCTGCTGTGCTCCAGGTCCCAGCTCAACCCAGCACACCTTATTTTCCTTCTTCTAATATTATTGTTTTTCTCAGTTTGTCAAACGTTAATGATAAAAAACTTCAAAATGATGTTTTATACAATGCTAATACATGTTAATAGCAAATCTGTGCCTTTAGTTTCTGTTCGAGAAGGGCTCCTTTCTCATTTATCAAGGTTTTGCTATAGAATTCCAGAAGTCTCTATGAAAAAAAGCACCAGGCCATTGTTGAAAATCAAAACTCATCAAGCCCTGAGGTCTGAAGGGCACTGCCTAGGAAGAGACCCACAATGGGCAAAGGATGTGCCCCTTCCACAGCACCACATCACTAGCCGCCCCCCCCCCCCCAGACAACGAGCACTGTGGACTGGAGGAAAGGTATGAAGAAATGCCACAAAACCACATTTTCAAATACTGTTGAGTCAAAAGGTCTTCTGAGTAAACTCCTTTGTCAGAGTTCATTTGAAAAAAAGATTCTTCTGCTTTAAAAACCCTGGTCTGTTCAATCCATTCACCTTTCAAACAAGAAGAGTGAGACCCAAAGAGATGAGGATATAGCTGAAGTCCCTGATTATTGACCTTGCTTGCCAGGCACAGCCCTCTCCCACCCTTACATCCATGGAAGCCTCCTGAGAAAGTGGGCGAAGAAATGGAAAGAGTGAGCCAGAGGCAGTGCTCAGTTCAGTGTCCCATGCCCCATCACCACCCAAACTTACCTCCTCGTCATTGGTTTCATTTCACAAAACCCTCGAAAAGGTCTACATGCCACATATGACTCAATATTTTTGTTTTTCATTTCCCTTTTTATGGTAACTGAAAACACCCTAAAAGGTAATAAAAAACAGGATTCAGAGTAACTGCATCATCTGCATTCAAGAGGGCAGAAATTTTAAAATTATAATATTGGCACTTTGGGACATGAGGGTACGAACATGAGCCTATATTCAGCACTGCATTATCCAAAACCACACTGTATTTGTGCATGAGGCCTAAATGCAAAATGCAATGAATGTTAGGAAATATTTAACACAAACAAATACTCAGAGCCCTGCTCACAGGCCACATCAAGCCCCATTCAGGGTACTCAGCTTGTATTAGAGGGAGGGGAAAAGCCCTTCATGTGCTGAATCTGTAAGTGACCTCAGAGAATTCATCAGAGGAAAGCACTGCGATACCCCCCAGAGTAAGTCTTTGGTGTCCTTCACCCAATTCGTAACTTGAAGAGCCTATTTTACTTCCTATCTCATAGCTTACCTCTCCTTTGCAAAAAGCAGTCAAGTGTGTGGACTGTCCCAGGCAGGGCTGACTTAATCAAGACCCCTCCTCAATAGTCTCTGAATGTCCCTAAAGGAGGAGCACAGCCCTCCTCTCCCACACGATTCTTATCACTGGACACAGAGCCCATGTTCACTGAACTCGGTACACTCCTTCCCCAGAAGGCACTCCCAAGTTCCAAGACCTTAGAGAGGGGTCAGGGGCCAAAGCTCCTTGTGTTCTTCAGGTAGGAAGAAAGATAAGGGATAGAGTGGCATCTTGCTTTGAACCTGGCATTTAATGATTGGGCTGCACAAAACTCACCCTGGACTCCTCATTCCACCACAAACCTTCCCAGAATAACAAGAAATCTCAGATGAGGAGACGTCATGCTGCCCTCAACCACTCATTCAAAATGTGCAGAGCCCTCTCACATCTCCTGTGAAACTTGGTTTGCCACTGGTCAGAACACCTGTCTCTACCGGACACTTGGCCATTGTCCATCCTCGCTGCAGCCAGGACCTTTCTCATTATCCAGTGAGCATTGTTTGGGAATTTGATGGGTCCCCTTTCCAAGCTCTTACTTAAAAATTTTTTTTAATTTATCTCACCACCATCCTTTAAAAAATTTTTAATGTTTGTTTGTTTGTTTATTTATTTATTTATTTATTTATTTATTTCTGAGAGAGAGAGAGAGAGCGTGAGCAGGGGAGGGTCAGAGAAAGAGGGAGACACAGAATCCAAAGCAGGCTCCAGGCCCTGAGCTCTCAGCACAGAACCTGACGTGGGGCTTGAACCCACAAACCATGAGATCATGACCTGAGCCGAAGTCGGATGCTTAATTAACTGAGCCACCCAGGCGCCCCTCACTACCATCCTTTTAAAGATTTAAACAGGAATAGTTTAACTCCCCAATTCTCAGTACTCAACCCTCTATCCAGCTGAGTAACATCACAGAGCAGTTAGACAAGTTAAAAACATGTAAAAAAAAAAACAAAAAAAAAACACTGAGTCAGCTGGCTTTTTGGGGAACTACCATTCTGCTTCCCATCTGCTTTCATCACATCACAGGGACACCAGAAGGCATGACGAGCAGGTGGCACCCAGGGCTCCATCATCAGCTTTCCAGGCTCGTGCCACCACCACTGAGTCAATGCCCAGCTGAAGCCAGTGATGGTCAAAAGAGTGGGCACAGCCACTCACTAATTCCATATCTGTGTTTCATCAAACATTTCATCCATCCCCAGAATAATTTGTCAGAATACACATAAACTCCAGTAAGATTTCTCATCCCTTACATTAACTCTACTTTCAAGTAAACTTTATGGCATCATTTCTTTCTCTTTTCTACACCTTCCTAGGATTGATAAGGTCACTTTTTCATACCAGATTGTGGGGGGTGTGGGGGGCCAACTCCAAATATCATCCATGTGGCTGCTTACTGGCCCTTCATGCCAATGAATGAAGAGGTGCAGCAACATGAAACCCTCAAGAAGGGAAAGAAGAGGCCCACAATCAAGGAGTGACCAGCAAATTCTCTACTGCTCTAGAACCACTGTCGCCCTGACATCTTATTATGTCTCTTTTTCCTTTAAGCCTCTCAAATTTTACAAGATGTAACTTAGCAGTATTTTCTTGCAAGGGCTACAAACCAAACTTGGAGCAGATGCCCTCAAACACCTAAGCCAGGTGAACTGGGGCCCACTGGACAAAGGCACAGGACCATGAGGCTGGACCCTACCCTCCATACCCTCACTGTGAGGGACCATGTGTCCTTCTTTGTGCATCTGGACACTTCCCCCATATAGGGGTCAGGTCTGACCCGAGGCCAATGCAGTGAATTCTTCCTCACAAACTCAAATGTCCAGGGGTGGGGACTTTGCCCAATCAGAAGTGCATGATCAGTTTCTTTGCAATGGTTCCTTGGATCAGCCCATATAAACTATGTAATCTGATGAGTTTTTCTTTTTGCTTTGGCTGCCAGGAAGACCAGAGCTCACTTTAACATCAAAACACAGCTGTGTCCCCACTGTTAACAAGGCATTTCCAGTGTAACTGAAACATCTGCACTCCAAACCTTTGCCAAAATGTTTGACCTTGAGCAGCCTGCAACTGAACTCCAGATGACTAGCTTACTGATGGAGATCTACAGGCCCCCTGAGTTGTTCCAATCTGTGATATTCTCTACATTATTTTATTTACTCTTCCCAGCCTTAAAGGGTAGGCACTGAAGTCCCCTATTTTCCTTTTGAGGAAACTGAGACTCAGAAATGTAGCTTAAAAGGGGGCATGTCAGGGGTACCTGGCTGGCTCAGTCAGTTAAGCATCAAACTCTTGATTTTGGTTCAGGTCATGATCCCAGGATTGTGGCATTGAGCCCTGCATCAGGCTCCGTGCTGAGTGTGGAGCCTGCCTGGGATTCTTTCTCTCTTTCTCTCTCTTTCTCTGTCCCTACTCATGCACCCTCCCCTCCCCGACTCACATGCACATGCTCTTTCTTGGGATTCTCTCTCTCTCTCTCTCAAATTAAAAATAACGGGGGGGGGGGGGGGGGGCATGTCAAGTGCTCACTCCAGGAGGAGCCCCAGGTCCTACCCTAGCGCCCAGTAGGTCTCAAGAGAACCACATCCAGAGCCTTTCACCATCAACCCAGGAGAGTTCGTCCAACAAGTGGACAGCAACATGTCTGTAGACTAATGTCTAACCTACTTCATGATTTAAGGGAGACTTTCAGATGGCAAAGGAGCACAGTGACAAGAAATGTAGGATCTGGAAACTGGCTATGTCCTTCTGGGAGAAAGTAACAAGAAATTACGGCGTTTTAATTCACCCACTTGGGTGAAAGGTATAGAGGACTTGGCTTCATTTCAACATATAGGCAAGTGTCCAGTATCATGAAATGTCCACCTGCACCAGAGATGGGGAGTCCCTGCAGCATGAACTTTGAGCACAGCTTTTGACCTTATAATAAGTCAATGCCAGCAACACGTAAATGCCTTTGCAAATATATCCAGCTAGCTGCCCTCCATGCCCTCTGCAAGCAATTGGTCACTGGACAGACACAGCCTCTGTCCCCTAAGTAATAATAAATGCACTATCTCTGAGGTACTCAGAAGGCCAACTAGAGAGGAAAGCGACTGGCTGGAAAGACCCTGGATAGCAACCCCAGCCATCAGCGCCACCCAGAGGCCCAGCTGCCCCCAGTGCCAGTAGCCAGCAGGGGTGAGCACATGCGTCTTCTAACCTTGGGGCCACCATCATCACACACTCTCCCAGGGTGGTATCTGTAACGAGTGTGTATGAGGAAGGTGGTTACTGGCAGGCAGGAAGGTAGACCAGGCGTCCCTAATGCCCCCACCTCACAGGTGACAGAATCCAGAACAAGTGCGGGAGGACACATAGCTAAGCAGCCCCCAGAAGTCCACAGTGCTACCCTCATGCCTGCTTTTCCCATCTGCAGACCCCAGAGTCCCTGTCCGCAAAGGTTTCTTCCACCTGCACACCACACACCAGCATGGGGAGTTGATCCCATGGCATTTAGTTATGGGCAGAGAAAGTCAACTTTCTTTCTATTGCTTGATTTATTCTTGCTTAGTTTTCTTGGAGAACGGTGCCCCTTAGAATCGCTCCTGTGATCTGCTAA